TAATAAATATAAGCTTAATTTTATCTATTTATATCATTATTTAAAATTTGTATCATTGAACTCTCTGTGTTCTTTTAAAACAAAAGTTATTAGTTCGGACAACAGTACGAGTTGTTTTTTTCTAAACTTAAACCTCAGTATTTGGGTTTAATTGCCGTGTTGGCACTTTAAGGAGAAAAATGTTGGCATGTATTGCGGTTTGGGCACTCGGGCTCAAAAAGGTTCGCCATCACTGGTATAGGTGAACCTTATGGTATGGCATGGTACTGAATCTGGATAACGTGCATTGCGTACAATACTCTAAGTGAGGTCTCACCAGTGTTCTGTACAATGACATGAGTACTTACCTCTTTCTACTGCTAATACTTCTCCCTCTACAACCAAGCATTCTGCTAGCATTTCCTGCTACTCTATTACACTGTCTGCCTACTAAGTCATCTGAAATAATTACCCCTAAATCATTTTCCTCAGATGCTGAGGTTAGGACTCTATCAAATATTCTATACTCTGCCCTTGGGTTTTTACATTCAAGATGCATTATCTTGCACTTATCTGAGGTCCCTTTCCTTCATTTTCATCTGTAAATACTGAACAAAAATATTCCTTGAGGCAGTCAGCTAGACCTTTATCCTATTCTACATACCTACTTTCTTTTGTTTTTTAATCTAATTAATCCTTGTTTTACTTTCCTCATTTATGTATCTAAAAAATGTTTTGTCCCCCTTTTTACCGACTGGGCTATTTTCTCTTCTGTGTGTGACTTGGAAGCTCTTATAACTTGCTTAGCCTCTTTCTACCTCATCTTATAGATCTGTCTATTTTCCTCACTCTGGATTTTTTTATAATTACTTTTAATTATTTATGTAACATTGAAGAGTGAACACGGTATACATTCAGTAACATAAATCATTACATACAGCTATAAAGTTAATTGCCCAGAACCCGTCAACAAAGATCGGTCGGATTTTTACCAATTTTTACAAAAAGACAGGGGTTGCGTGCCAAACAATATTTTAAACATCTGCTCTTGAAAGATCATGCATATCGATATTTTAGATGCAGTTTCCCAGATATCTATCCATTCATTAGGTTCCAAAGATTTTCCTAGGTCTGCCTCCCAATGAGATATAGAATTTAATTAATCCTAAACTGTAGGTTCCTCGCTTAACTGGTTGTAAAATTCAGATATAAGACCTCCCTTTATATTTTTCTATTTTGCAAGCTTTTTCAAAATCAGTAAGGGGGAACTGAACTGCCATCTTTACTTCAGCAGAGTAAGCAAAGTCTCTAATCTGAAGGTAGCAAAAAAAAATCTCCTGGCTTCAACTCCGTTCTGGCCATTAAACTAGCAAATAAAACCACCTCTCCTTCTGACCAGAGGTCAGCATATCTATGAATTCCCCCTAATTTTTAATTTTGAAAATTGTGCTCTTCCATTCCTGGAATAAACTGCCTATTCTGAAAAACTGGTGTCATAGGGGAGGGGAGGTTAGTTAGGCCATGTTTTAACTTAAGTTTACACCAAATATATAAGGAGTGTAACATTGATGGGCGTATTTTTTTTTTAAGGCTGGTCTTGAGGCCTTATTTAACCACATATATATTGCCGGTGAGTCTGGATTCATCAAATCAGTCTCAATGTCTGCCCATCTATATTTCCCTTGGGATGAATGCCATCCAATAATTTGTGCCAATTGGACAATGTAGTAATAGATACGTAGGTTGGGGAGACCTAGTTCCCCTTTGTCTCTAGGTCTATACAAGAGATTTCTAGCTACTTTACGACATTTACCCTGCCAAATAAATGTATCTATGGCTTTCTGAACGCTCTCTAAATCTCCCTTACACACCCGAAGAGGCAGAGGTTGAAATAAGAATAGAAGCCTCGGTAGAATATTCGTTTTTATTATTATTATGTTATTATTATTATTATGTTATTATTTATATAGCACCAACAAATTCTGCAGCGCTTTACAGTGGGTGGACGAACAGACATGTAGTTATAACCAGACAAGTTGGACACAAAGGAACAGAGGGGTTGAGGGCCCTGCTCGATGAGCTTACATGCTAGAGGGAGTTGGGTAAAGTGACACAAAAGGTAAGGATAGTATTAGACTAATGACAGTTGCAGGAGAGGAATCAGTCGGGAGCTATTTACAGTTTAATTGATATGCTTTTATGAAGAAGTGGATTTTTAATGATTTTTTGAAGGAGTGGAGACTGGGTGAGCGTCTAACGGAGGAGGAACAGGAACGGTGCACGAGATTGGTTTATCATGTCAATTATCTAGGTCCTTTTTCAAGTTTTTTTTTATTAAAGGTAAGTAATTATCTATATATAATGTGTTATAAAAGCGTCCAATTTTAATACCTAAATAGCATAGGGACTTTCCCACAGACAGATAAAATTTAGATCAGGGAAGTGGGGGATGGGGGCAGCCTATAGATCAGGGAAGTGAGGGATTGGGGGCAGCCTATAGATCAGGGAAGTGAGAGATGGGGGATCCACCTACAAATCTGGTAAGTGAGGGGTGGGGGGAAAAGCCCATATATCAGGTTAGTGAGGGATGGGGGGAGGCAGCCTATAGATCAGGTAAGTGAGGGATGGGGGGGAGGCAGCATACAGGAAGGGTCAAGGAGCAAGCAGGTAAAGTAAGAGAAGGAGCAGAAGGGAGAAAGAACAGAAATGAACAGGAAAAGACATAAAGGAGCAGAAAGGGGCAGCAAGAAGCTGGAAGGGACAGCAAGGAGCACAAAAGATAAAGTAGGAGAAGGAGCACAAAGGAACAGAAATGAACAGGAAGGGGCAGCAAGGAGCAGGAAGGAGAAGGAAGGGCCAGCAAGGAGCAGGAAGGGTCAGCAAGGAGCTGGAAGGTAAAGCAGCACAAACATAAAGTAGAAGGAGCAGAAAGGGTCAGCAATGAGCTGGAAAGGGTAACAAGGAGCAAGAAGGGACAGAAGGAGCACAAAGGTAAAGTAGGAGAAGGAACAGAAATGAGCAGGAAGGGTCAGCAATGAGCTGGAAGGGACAGAAGGAGCACAAACATAAAGTAGGAGAAGGAACAGAAATGAGCAGGAAGGGTCAGCAATGAGCTGGAAGGGACAGAAGGAGCACAAACGTAAAGTAAGAGAAGGAGAAGAAATTATCAGGAAGCGTCAGCAATGAGCTGGAAGGGACAGAAGGAGCACAAACGTAAAGTAGGAGAAGGAGCAGAAATTATCAGGAAGGGTCTGCAATGAGCAGGAAGGGGCAGCAAGGAGCAGGAAGGGTCTGCAAAGAGCAGAAAGGGACAGAAGGAGCACAAAGGTAAAGTAGGAGAAGGAGCAGAAGGGTAGCAAGGAGCAGAAAGGGATCAGAAAGAGAAAGGAGCAAAAGGTGAAGCAAAATAAGCAGAAAGTAGTAGAAAGGTAAAGGAGCAGAAGGAGCCAAGGAGGAAGACAGTGTCAGAAGAAAAAGAAGACTGTGTCAAATGAAGGAGAAGAAAAGGAGATTGGAGCAGGAAGGACAAGTGAAGTGAACCCTCCACTTTATTCTGGACACCACATCATAAGGCTTTGGTACCTGGGCCTGGCAGGGAAACTTTGGACCTTTTTATCTCCCCAGGTAAAAAAAAATCAATGTTAATGTGTTCACTTTTATTTACTGAGTGTCAGGAAGCACAGAGTGCCGCTGGGTAGGGGTGTCGCTGATTGGCTAGAGCGGTCAGCTGGCACTCTAAGCCAATCAGTAGCTCCCCATTCATAAAAAAGTAAAAACATTTTATGAACCGAGAATTAGCGATTGGCTTAGAGCGTCAATTGACCACTCTAGCCTTTCTGCAGCACCCATGCTTGACGTCAGTCTGCAGTTCCTGACACTCTGTTTCAGAAGCCGAACACCACTGAGCGACCTGGAGATCTGGAGCTGGAGGAAGCCTTTGGGGTTAAACCATTTGAGAGCGGTTTAACCCCTTAAAGGAAAGAGAGCACACAGGGACTTCCTGGCATCATAGCATTGTCATTTAGATTAAGTTGTTATGGTCAGGGCCAGACTGAAGATACAAAGAAGCCCTGGAAAAAAAATCTATGCCAGCCCCATAAGTAATTGCGTCATATATTGTCGCATGTAATATGTAAGGCTATGTCTTGCCACCCCAGATGATTGAGTAATATATATATATACATATATTGCTTTTTCTAATATAAAATATTGGTCCTTTCAGAGTAAAACGTTTAATTTTATCACATGACAGGAGGCTTCATATTTTGCATAACTTTCTTTACTTTATGCCTCCAGCAGCACAAGTCAATCAATAAACTTTAAACCAATCAGTAACAGGCATCACATTCATATATAAAGCCCTGACAGTCACATGACTTCCTCTTTCTTTGCTGCTTACCAGCCAAGGCACAGGTCAGAGTATTTTGCTCCAAACTGTTTTACTGAATATTGCAATTGTCATTAGTTAATCATTTATTGCTTAACTTTCAGTTTGTTCCAAACTGTTTTTATTAATATTGCTATGGTCACTGTAGTTAGACACCTTATGCTAGACATTCAGTTTTAATCCTAACTGTTTTTTCTGGATACCACTTTAATTAAACTTTATTAATTGACTTTCAGTTTGCTCCAACTGTTTTTATTAATATTGCTATGGTCACTTTAGTTAGATTTTTAATGCTAGACATTCAGTTTTTGCTCCAAACTGTTTCTGGATATGCATGGGCACTTTTGTTAAACTTTATTAGCTTGTCCTGCAATTTTGGCCTAAGCGTTTTTCATTATTTTGCACTTGCCTTCCATTTGGATTTGTATAGTGTGATATTCTCCCCCTGTTACCCTTCCCCTGAATTAACCCTGTATTTTCTGCTTTATTAGCCTGTTTTCTGTTGCTGGCACCTTTTCTTTCCTATGCTTTACTCTGGTCTCGCATGGTCGCGGCGTTTTACCGCGAGCACGCTTTTTATTCATTGGTGCTGGGACTTCAGGGCAGGTCTCTGGGGGTTGGGGATGTCGGGGGTCTCTTTTCCATGCCGGCAGACCGCGATCGTATCCTCGATCGTGGGCCGCACGGCACTTTTGCACGCGAACGGCGGCCATCTTGAATTTCGCGGCACTTGCGAGATTCACGTCGGCCATGTCGTTTGGCCAGTTCGTGATTCCCACGAACTGGCGGCTAGTTCTGTACTGTTTCATATATTTTTCCTGTGAAATAAAAGTTTTACAAGTACTTTTGAGCTCAATACTTTTCATGGGCATATTTCATACTATACTGGCATATTTCATTGGCATGTGAAATAAAAGTTTTATATGTAACTCTGCATGAATATGTAGGACTGATCCCTGCTGTGTGCATCTGCTGACAGTTTGCTCTATTCTGTTCTATACAATTGACATGTTGAATAACAGTTTTATTGTACATCTGGAGGATTATGAATGGACTGTCCCCTGCTGTGGGTATATAGTGGATGCATTACTCTATCTACTGGCAGGGAAATTAAATAGAGCTGATATCTTACTCCGCTCCCTACTCCCACTGGACCTCACAACCATTGGATACACTCCTTCCCCACAGGGATACACCTCCCAGGACACAGTAGTGGAGGCACATAACGGAGTGATTAACAGGGGTGATCCCCCTTACGCTGGGTGACCCCCAAGCGTGGCAGACACCTCTCCAAAGTGACATTGTGGTACAGGGGTGACCCCCCTTACGCTGGGTGACCCCCAAGCGAATCTGGTTCCTGTCCTAGTGACATACATATACTGGGGTGATCCCCCTACTCTGGGTGAACCCCAAGCGAATATTATTCCGGTACTAGTGACATACATATACTGGGGGGAACCCCCACGCCCTAGGGCGGGCTCATTTCCACGGAGTACGATCTGTTACTGTATGCACAGACCGGGTCACACTGAATACATGTATATCGACAGAGCCAGGAAGGAGAGCTCATGGTGCTGCCAATTCTCCACAGTACTATATCCTATAAGGGTGACCCCTTGGATAATTTGGAGGCTACCATACCTCCCCATACACGGGCTACGTCCCGACATTACTGACCGCTCATCCCGGTCTTATTGAGGGTGACCCCCTCCTCAGACCACTCCCAGGAAATCTCTAAGTGGTACTGATTGAAACAATTCTGGGTGACCCCCAGTTGTACGTGGAGGCCCACTAAGTGGCAATAAGTGTACTACCGTACCTGACACCTGTTCGGTACCCCATAGACCGAAAGAGTGTCCCAACATGCCATAAGAGACATTCATACAGGGGTGACCCCCTATGCTGGGTGAACCCCAAGCGAGTCTTACTCCGGTGCTAGTGGCATAGGTACAAAGGGGTGACCCCCCGCACCCTTTCTAGGGCTTCTACCTTCAGAGTACGCTCTGTCATTGTATGCACAGACCAGGGCGCACTAGATGCATGTATTCTGGCACCTCTATGCTTCAACTGGGGTTCCGTACGCCCTTCCCTTAACCGAGAAGGAGAACTCACAGTGCTGCCAAAACTCCACAATTCTAGACCATATAAGGATGAACCCGTGGACTATATATATTGAGGCTTTCACGTCTCCCAGACTCGGGCTACGTCCCGACATTGCAGACCGCTCATCCCGGTCTTACTGAGGGTGTCCTCATTCTCAGACCACTCCCCGGATCCTGCGAAAATGATACTGATTGATCAAAATTCTGGGTGACCCCCAGTTATACGCGGAGGCCTACTGAGTGGCAATAAGTGTACTGTTGTACGATCCTGTCTCCCACGGACCGAAAGGGTGTGAACCAACATGTCGGACTTACCTCAATATCCCGACCGATTTTCAGGCGAGGATTAAGGCTGCCATGACAGCTCCGGGGGAAGAAGTCCTCTCCAGTATGCTGGCTAACAACCCATCCGACAGAGCGGGTGCAACGGCAGCAACACCAATGGAAGATTGAGATACCGACGTTAGGTCGGACACCCATCATCAGGGGACGAGGACTTCATCCTCCCCCCCTTCTCTGGAGATCATGAAAGAATGGAGGGCAGAAGAGGTAAAAGTGACAAGACACGCCTAGCAAGAAAGGTTTTTTCTTTGGCACACTGGACACTCCTGTTTTGACTCACGCACCATCCGACAACCAGGGTCATCCGAATGGGGTTAACTGGAGCACCGGGCCCACTTCTGGCTTAGGAGGCCTATGGGAAAAGAAATCCGAGACCGGCTCAGGATGGAATGCCCACGCCCTCTATGTCCGAACAAGATAGTCCTCACTATGGAGCTCGTGGTGATATGTATGTCCCGATCAGTGTGTAGGAGGAGGACTCAAATGAGTTAAATACTGGATATGATCAGCCCGGGAAAAAATTCTATACTTTGCGGACCTGACCCCACACAAGACTCACCTCTAGAAGCTCACGATGTGAGGGAATGGGTGCAAAGGGCAATATGTAAGTTGGGGAATGCAAGGCAGACAGGTGCACAGAATGCCGCAAAGCAGCCCGATTAAAGATGGATTTCAAACTATTGAAGTTAGGGACGAAAGAGCGAGGACCTCAGGCAGACAGACTATCGTTTGGAGAACCATTTATCTCAGCAACGGTTTGGTAGTAAGGAAGAAGATAGGAGACTATCACCCAGCCATCAACCTATGCCAACCCAATGGTTTTGGGGCGTACCGACAACTCAAGAAGGAAGGTATCCATCTCTTAGGGGATCTACAAGGTTGGACTTGAAGGGCACTTACCTATAGGTTCACATGGTGCCTCATGAAGTTTCTGAAGTCGGTCACTGCGCACTGAAAAGCAAAGGGTATCTGCTGTCACATACCTAGACGACTTACCTTTTGCAAATCCAATTCATGACTACGTTTACAAACGAGATTTATGTTTACAGTTTCGGGAATTGTTGGGATTCATAGTGAACAGAGAGGAGTTGGTTCGATCCCAGTTCCGAGTGATTCAGTTCCTCTATTTCAGAATAGATTCCACCTTGGGCAGATTACACCTTCCCACATCATTGATAGCGACGATTCGTAAGGAAATTCGACGGGTACGGCGGAAAGGCACCATAACCCTTTGACTATTTCCCAGGACTGCTTCACTACCAGGCCAGACAGTGGCTGAAAGCTCACTGCCTGAGATACGGACACACCTATGAAATTGGGATCAGAATAGCGAAGACTTCGATAGTACTCATTACTGCGGTAAAGGAGGCAAGCGTGACACCCAGAAGGGTTGTCCTTAATCAGGATCATCCTCTGCTCCTTCCGTTTTAACTTGCCTTTGGGCGGATCCAAAAGGAGAACATCATCCATTGAGAATGCAGGAGCATCTGGAGTTGGTAGATTGGTGTCTTCCAGGGGAGACTGGTATGTCAAGGGACTATCGCAACCAACTAGAGACCTACTATGGGACTCATGGAACGCCAGGTATTCCCCCGAAATAACTTATCCGCATGGAACACCTTGAGTTCGCTGGTGTATGGGAAGGGACTGCGATCCCTTTATTACCCCTATCTCCACGATGCTGGATCTTTATCATACCTTTTCACTACAGGCCGATCGGAACGTTCCATTAACGGGCTACGTTCCGCAATTTCGACGATGCATAGCACGATTCACGACACTCCGGTCAATCAAGAGCCTTTGATATGCCATTTTCTGTGGGGTATCAAACCGTCCAGAACCATGCGTCAAAGTATCACTGGTGTGGGACTTTGATTTGGTTCTTTTGGAGCTAGTCAGATATCACGGTCCTATCCCTCAGTCAGCCATTAGCCAGAGTCACGTTACTTTTAGGTCTTTTCGTCGGGTATCAGATGTACTGGAGTTCGACGTAGACGGTCTTTTCGGTATCACCGGAAAGAATAATTTCTACAGTGTCTCGTAGAACTATATCTTATCCGTGTCCGTATCGTTCCCTGTTACCGACGGTTTCCCAGCCTTTGTGCAGTTAAAGGAGTACTTTGTTACATGGAGATCACGACAACACTTAGAATGTCACATTCAGGACATCTGCTGGTCTTATACCAACCGTACAAGCCAGTTACCATGAACACTCTGTCTAGATGGGTTCATTGGTTGTTATCGCTAGCGAGGGTGGAGACATGTTTGGGTACTCATTTGGTAAGAGGCGCAGCTGCTTCTCAGGCCTTCACGAGGGGGCCTCTATATTTTCAGCGACGAATTGGACATGGATAGACTACTTCCGTATATTTATTTTCGTCAACCACACACGCATCCTTCACGCTCATACCACAGCTTTAAAAATGCAAAATATGAAGCCTCCTGTCATGTGATAAAATTGTAGATTATGCTAACGTAGTGTACCTATAATCTTAATTTTAATAATGACAGGAGGCGAGTATTTTCCCTCCCTGTTTCCCTCCCTATACTCTGGAAATTTTTTATATTTTGGTTTGTCATTTTCTCAGTGTAAATTATAAGGTTTGGTAATTCAGTATATTTATGGGATGCTTATTTGGTTGATATGTGTTAGATCCGTGTTGATTATTAAGTATACTATGGTTTGTTTAATGTTTCAGTATATTAACTTAATATAAATATAGACACATATAGTACTGGATTTAATGTGGACAACAGTTGGTTTCCATCACCTTTCACGTATTTCTGTTCTTTTCAGCGTAATCATCATAGATGGATTCGACAAGATAAAGCTGGAAGGTTTCAAGTTATGTTCTACACGTTACTCAGGACTGTTATTTGAATTCCCTGACGTTATAATAGACTGTTTTTCGCATCAAAGAAAGAGGAAGTCATGTGACTGTCAGGGCTTTATATATGAATGTGATGCCTGTTACTGATTGGTTTAAAGTTTATTGATTGACTTGTGCTGCTGGAGGCATAAAGTAAAGAAAGTTATGCAAAATACTCGCCTCCTGTCATTATTAAAATTAAGATTATAGGTACACTACGTTAGCATAATCTACAATTATACAGTAAGCATACTCACATGCAGACACAGACAATCTCACTGACACACACAAGCTCATTGATACACAGCCTCACAGACAAACAATCTCACTGATATACATAAGCTGATTGACATAAAAACACAAGCTCACTCACTAGCAGGCGCACACACACACACATGCAAGCAAGCCCACTCACTAGCAGGTGCAAACACAGCTTAATGTAGTGGTTCTGGTTTCTATAGCCTGTCCCTGTAGGCCTTTCAATGTAAACACTGACTTTTCAGAGAAAAGGCAGTGTTTACCTTGCTTCCTAGTGACAGACACTCAGACGGT